GAACTACTCAAAATTTCCACTACCGGTTCTCCAGAACTGGTCAGAACCTGCTGAATACCACCTCTGATGTGTGTGTGTGTGTGTGTGTGTGTGTGTGATTCTGCCATTAAACATAGAAATTCTCCAGGACCAATAAGCAGTTCCAGATAACCGCATATATCACTAGAATCTGAGTATAAAAGTTTATAATTACTTGAAGAATATACAGGTATAAAAGGATTCCTCAACCTGGGGTTTTCCAAATGAGTGGACTATCAGTCCTAGAATTCTCTGGAAGGAAGGAAGAATCCAGGTTGGATAGCAGTCGGACTTAGAGGAGGAAGGGCTGCCATTTGCATGACTAACCAGGCCTTCTGGTTAGCAGTGAACAACTAGTTTTTGTAAAAAAAAAAAAACTGCACATGGTTGAACCCCAAAATCTCTGTTGCTAAGGGAGATAGCTGTTAAGTGAATTTTGCCCCATTTTACGAACTTCCTTGTCACAGCTGTTAAGTGAATCACTGCAGTTGTGAAGTTAGAAACCCTATTGTTAAATGAGTCTGAATTCTCTGTTGGTCAGAAGATTGCAAAGGAGAATCACATGAGCTCTGGACACTGCAAACGTCATAAATATGACCAGTGCCTGAATTTGGATCATGTGACCCTGGGGATGCTGTCACGGTTGTGAGTGTGAAAAATGGTCATAAGTCATTTTTTTCCCCCAGTGCCATTGTAACTTTCAACAGTCACTAAATGATGTGTTGTAAGTCGAGAACTACCTGTTGTAAGTGTCTTCTATAGTGAGCAGTTACTCATCAGATTTATTGTCCCAGAGGCCATCAGTCCTCCACATCTATTTTGCACCCAGTAGGCAAATGGGAAAATCAAGGGGTATCTCTCAAAGAAGTGGATGTGGTTTTATGACCTGATTACCAGTTTCTGCATTAAGTATCATACTTTTTTTATTATTATTATGCATGTCTCAACTTTCACAACACATATTAATTGCCTGTCATCCAGGCACACACCCTGGCTATCTGAGGCACAAGTGGTGCAGTTTCTAAATGACAAATGCACATATCCCATCTGCCAACTCTCAACTGAAACTACTCTGCTCTGGATTTTTTTAAAAAATGCACCCAGTTAGTGAGAGCATTAATTGCTTTAGATAATTCTTACGAGTTCAAAAGAAGTAATACTGTAGTAGTGGTGAAGTCTTATTAAAAAAAAAAGAAAAACTCTGCTTTATTAAGGTTGGAGCAATGGAGAGAGACTTCTGTAGCATAAGAACTCTGGGTTGGAAAGAAGGCAGGTGGCATGACACTTTCTAGTCTCTGCCAGCTCAAGATCAGGACTGCAGGAGACTGAAAGTGCCCTCTGCCAAGGGCACAAAGCACACCTTGCCTTCACTTCACTCTTTACAGTCCTTTGGGGAAATTGAAGAAGTAGCATGAAAGGGTGAACCACATTGCTTGACTCAGGGATCCAAATAATTGCAGAGCAAACAAGATGGGAGGGAGATAAATGTATCTTCTGACCAGGGCATTCTTTTTTTTTCTTACATTGACTTAATTTATCCCCTGCCCATCAAACTTTGTTTACTCTGAAAGAGAGAAACCTATAGATGGGGGCATATGGAACAGGAAGGAGGTTTAATTCCCTTTTGACCCTACATGTTTTTTTTTAATTTTCTTCCTGAAACTTCTTGGAAGAAGAGAAGAAGAAAAACACCATAATGAGAGCTCCTCTCTTCTTGTCTGTTTTTTTTCCCCCAGATTGGCCTTCTCCAACCTGTCTAAGGCATAGGGGATTGTGTAATTTGGCACACGTAGAAGGGTTCATTTGAGGGGGACGTTGATCTGTTTTCTTAACATGGGCTGTTTCAGACAGTGATTTAAGGGGTGAAAGAAGTATATTGTCTCTTTTTTCCTTCCTGAAGTGATCATGCTTTATAACAAAGCTGGCCTAAATAGCTGCAAAAAGGGCTTGCAATTATTTCTTTCTCACACATGAAGGCATTCATAAAAATGCACACATAGAGATTCTAAAAGCAACAGTTTGAAGCGGAACTAGAATACAAAAGTGTGAAATACTGCTTGTTCTTATCCCTTGAAAAGTTATGTTCTTCATTTGAAATGACAGCCTAGGCATACTTCTTAATAAATCTGTCCAGATCAATTTTTCTTCTGTTCAGTTGAGTGGACATCTCTCTGTGGTAGTGGGAAATATATACAAGAGAATTCTTCAAGATTTTAACCAGATTCTGTCTAATTCTGAAAACAAATACAAATCATCAGACCGTCTTGTCTAGTAGTGAATTACAGCTAGTCTTTGACTTACAATCTTTTTACAGCACTGAGAAAAGAGACTTATGACCGGTTTTCATATCTACAACTGTTATAGCACCATGTGATCAAAATACAGATGCTTGGCAACTGCCCTGTATTTATGATAGTTGTGTTGTCCTGGGATCATGTGATCGTCATTTTGTGAAGTTCCCAGGCAGCTTTGGATACGCAATGTTAATGCGGGAAGCCAGAATCCATAATGACCGCATGATCTATTGAACTGCAGGGGTTCGTTTAAACAAGTGGCAGAAACGTTTGTAAAATGGGTCACAACTCACTTAACTGCCTTGCTTAGCAATGGCAATTTTGCGCTCAATTTGATACTAGTTGAAGATTACTTGCCTTTTTGTTGGTCTATATTAACCAAATATAAGTTGATTGATAAGTTAATTACTTCTTTCCTAGCATCTTTGTTGTGTAAATAGTAAGCTGGCTATTTTACATTTTATTAGTAAATTATACTAAAGAAACAGAACAATGATCAGTGATAATATTATCAGAAATAATATAGCTAATCAGCTTTTACACTATATAATTTTTTTCCTGTAACCACTGATTATCATTTGTTGCTGTTAATGGATCTGGCATTATTTCCTCATTTTTGATACTTCTTCCTAAATATTAGAAAAATTTAGAAAAGTCAAAGATGCTAGATTTTCATAACCATTTTGTTTCTGTAATTATTTTTATACTCTCTAGGTAGAATGGCTTTACTTAAGAATTTATATTAAGGTGTTTACTTGACAAAACAGCCTCTAGGCTGGCTTGTTCTCATGTTTTGAACTACAGGTGGATGTGATGAAGTTGGCAAACCTCTCATGCCACTCTGATAAATTTCCACTTCCTGTTACCTGTAGGCACTATTGACACTTGAATAAGAAACCCCCAAAGTTGCCAAAGTGGTCCAAATGTGGTGTTTATTTTTTAAAATTATTTTTTATTCCACTAGACTCCACAGGAACTCATGGCAGTTTCCAGATCAAAATGATCTGGGATTGGGATTTTCTGATTTCAAATTCTTCAGGGTCCATGTTTTCTACAGCCCCAGTTATGTGGCCACAGGGAGCATCTTCTTAATTGTCAGGACGTAAACAGAACTCTATTTTTGCTTGGTTCAAATGTGCCTTTATAATCAAACCATTTGAACAGAACATACCATAGGGCAACTATAGTTTCTGCTGGCCTGGTGGCCTCCAATTGTAGTAAATTGCAGTTTCCAGACATCGGGACATCTTCCTGGAAAGCCTTGCAGACAATGTGGTTGTAGATCTAGAGCTTGCCGAGATCTTCAACCACATTGGGGGATACCTCCTCAAGTATTATTAAGGGCAACAGAACATGGGATCATCAGAAAAATGCTTTTCTTTTTATTTCAAGAATATTTGGAACAGAATGAACTTCCCAGTGATGTGTAGCTCCGAATGTATTTGTGCGTTGCCTTCTAAATCCCTGCCTCAGACTCAACATTTCTTCTTCAGTAATTTGCAGTAGAGAGGAGCAGCTGGGAGATTTCTGGCCAAGGAGCCATGGGAACAGGCTGACCCCTTTCTAGATGTTTCCATTACAAATTTCCCTCTCTGTACGTGGCATTTATCTCCTCTTTCTCTGCCTCCCTATCCCCAGCTCTTTCCGACCTGCCTGCTTTGAGCTGTTCATAATGCCTCTTGGGAAAGGCTGGAAGAAAACAGTGGAAGACATTGCCAGTGTCTACGACATCAAGGAGAAGCTGGGCTCGTGAGTAAAAAAGGAAGGGCTGGCTCAAGATCCGCATGGATGCTCTCTTGCTCTGGGAATCCTGCCCTTGCGGACTTCCTCTCTCCCTCCATTTCTTGATAGATTGACTTTCCGTGCTCTGGGTTAGCCCTTCTCCCCTTTTACACTAACCTTCCCCAACTTGGGAAGATGAATTGTTGTTGGGAATCTCATTGTCCGTCTGAGGGAACTCAGAATCTTGGGGTGCAAGGTTGAAGGAGGCTGTTATAGTTTCAATCACTTTGCTTTTCCTCCCTCCACCCATTTCCAGTTCTGTTTTTTTCCTTTCCCAGTCAAATCCTGTCCTCCCACACCTATCATGCTTCCTTCCTTGTCTTCAGTACCCTCTCCGGTATGAAGCCTTGGGTTGATGTTAAAGATGCTGCAATTTTAAATACATGTCTAAAGAAGTATTCCCTCCTCCGCCCCCCTCCCAATACTGTAGCAGATAATCTCACATGTGCAATCTCACATTGCAGAACGTTTGCATGTCTGAGATCTGCGTTCCACTCTCCCGTTCTCCATCCATCCATCCCTAGCCCAGTGCTGACTTCTTCCCATCTGCTTTTCCTGCCCTGACGTCCTCCTCCTGTCCTCCTCCTGCCCAGCCGGGGGTCTCTCTGCGCCTGGATGTGGCGGTCCCTCCTCCTTCCTGGAAGCCTCTTCTGCAGAGAAGGACCCCAGGAATGCGGCAGCCTCATTTGCATACTGCGATCCCATTGGCTTGGATGCCCTCGGACGGACATATATCTGACGTGGGTTGGACAATAATAGACCAGGAGCCAGAGGGAATTTGCAGAGGGTGGTGGGAAAGACGACCGGGTTTAACCCTTTCTTTAACCAAATGCACCAAGCCTTCTAATTCGATCGAAGGGCAGAGAATCCAAATCCCTTTCCAGAGGGACAGCAAAGGGGCTTCTTTGTTTGCTCAGGTTTCCTAGGGAATGCCTCCCTGTTGTTTTCTCTGCAGCACCAGGAGATCAGATTCGCTGCACCGGAGAATGAGTCAGCCAGCCATGAAAAATATGCATGCTACCAGTTTGCATAGTCAATACCCGGAGATGCTTCAGCCAATTTATTCCAAAATCATAAAGCGTCAATCAAGGGATCAGACATAACCTGAATTAGCTCCAGTTTGGTGTGTGTGGTAGAGCAAAGCTTTGTGTGTGTGTGTGTGTGTGGGTGGTAGGGGCATGGAGAAGTTGAAGACCCTTGGGGGAGCCTGTGTAGTAAGTCTCAAAAAATTCTACCACCTTTGTGTTTTGGTCACTGTCGCTTACTTTGAATGGTCTCCCTCCTGCAAAGCCAAAAACATAACATAATCTCCCCCAAAACAAAGCAACCTCCCCCCCACTTTGAACTACTCGTTCTGTCCCCGTCTCCCATTTTGAAAACCAAGGCAAAGTTCTATTGACTTGATTCCATATTTTGAAGCAGAACACACAATTGCTTCTTTGTCCCAGAACAGTTTGAAGCAAACAGAACATTTTTTTTTCATGTAGCAACTCTACACTCAGACAATCGCAGGGAGTTAAAAGAATTACATCGGCTGCATGGCAACGCTTTTTCCCTTACGGATCGTAATGCTGTTTTTTTTACTTAACTTCCAGTCCAGTAAAAGGTTCCAAGGAATTTAAGGGAAAAAAAACAAAACAAAACAAAACCAAATTCAGCTTTCCTAGAAATCACACTTAATGTAGTTGGGCACAAAGTACAAGAACAGACTTATGTGTCTGCTGCTGAATTGCTGTTGCAACTGTATTGGATTTTTGTAAGGAACTTTAGCGACTGCTTATGTAGCTGTGAACACTTACACTTACATGCCTCTATTCCACCTTCCTTTAATTCTTATTCTTACAGAGGGGCCTTTTCAGAAGTGGTTTTGGCCCAGGAACATGGATCTCAGCGCCTTGTAGCCCTCAAATGCATTCCTAAAAAAGCACTGCGAGGTAAAGAAGCAGCTGTGGAGAATGAAATTGCTGTACTCAAAAAGTAAGTCAGTTTGCATTTCTGCATTTTTTTCCAGGATGTAAAATGAATTTCCTGGTTCAGTGCTCAGGATCCATTTTTGTATTGGGACCAGAGGTTCTGACCAGTTCTGGAGAACTGGTAGCAGAAATTTTGAGTAGTTTGGAGAACCGCCAAATACCACCTCTGACTGGCCCCGCCCCCATCTATTCTCCGCCTTCTGAGTCCAAGCTGATCATTGGATGGGTCTTCTTTTGTTGCCTTGTACAGGAGAATGGAGCTGGAAAGCAGGTTAGTGGGATGGAGTGGGAATGGAGATTTTACAGTATCCTTCCCCTGCCACGCCCACCAAGCCATGCCCACAGAACAGGTAGTAAAAATGTTTAAATCCCACCATTGATTGGGACTTCATTTTGTTCAGAGACAACAGTTATAATAACAATAACTTAATGCAAGTATAGATGATATTTCACTGATCTTGTAGAGAAGGTCTATCAAACTCCTGGCCCATGGGCTGGATGGGTCACGTGCTAGCCACGCCCAGTTTAGCAAAGGGGGAAAAAAGTCCCCATACGTCATGTGATGCTGCCATGATGTTGTGAGTTTGACACCCCTGTTGTAGAGAGTCCAGTTTGCAGACATGGAAAAGAGATAGCATTGTTTGTCCTTTTAGCGAAGGGGAAAAGGCAAGTTTTTGCACTGGCCGACCTACCACAGAACCTGAACTCAGAAGGTAATGCCTTCTCTTTGGGTAAGGGAATGTGGTTTCCTTACGGTTTTGCTCTCCTTCTCTTGAGTGCACATTTTCATTCTTTCAACTTTTGGAAATATCTGGGCTTAAATAAGAAGCACGCCACATTTAGCAGGGATTTCACTGAATCTTGCAGGGATAATTTTATTCATTCCACATTTAGCCTTCTGCCAAGTACCTCTGAGTAATGTACTTTTCCTAAGAATTTATCTAGCCAGGTTAAAGTTAGCGGTAGTAATTGTCTCAAGATTACTTATCACCTTTCCCCATTTGCCCTTAAGCATGGAATAAACATGTCCTAGCAGTTGTGGACTTTTTGCCATGATCTCCTTCAGCTCACTGCCAACCCACATCTGAGCGGCCTTAAGTCATCCTTAACAGGGCCTTTTCCCTTAGGCAGCATTCGTTTAGCGACACCGTAATGGGTAGAATCAGCCAGACACCTAATGGCAACTCTAGGCTGATCTGGTCCTTCTCTGTATTCTGGGGACCTTCTGTCTATTTGAGGATAGTAGTAGGAGAACGTGAGTCTTTTAAACCAGCTTCTCTCCCGTGAACCCATCAAGTCTCCAAACTGATCCCCATCTAAAAGACCTGTCTTTAAAAAAATAGATCAACCCAACTAACAGCTAACAGATACTGTAACTGGGGCAGGGAACAACACTAGGAAAAAGACTCCTGCTGTACCATGCAGTTCCCCCTCCATTATTAGCAGTTAGATTACTTTTAAACCTGGAATTTCTGATCTTTCAGGGAAACTATGTCTAAAAATCCCCTGAAAAATAGCTAATAATAATAATACGCCCTTACCGTGCAACCTGTCCACACCTATCAACTGTACCATGCAGCTATCCAGTGGTGGTATTCACATTTTTTTTACTGCTGGTTCTGTGGGCATGGCTTGATGGGTGTGGTGTGGCTTGATGGGTGTGGCAGGGGAAGGATAATGTAAAATCTCCATTTCCACTCCACTCCGCTAACCTGCTTTCCAGCTCCATTCTCCTGTGCAGGGCAACAAAAGAAGACCCAGAATAGATGGGGCAGGGCCAACCAGATGTGGTATTTACTGGTTCTCCGAACTACTCAAAATTTTTGCTACTGGTTCTCCAGAACCTGTCAGAACTGGCTGAATACCCACCTCTGCAGCTATCCCCAATTCCCATCAGCTCTCTCTCTCTCTCTCTCTCTCTCTCTTTTGGCTTTGCTGAAAAATGTGGGAGAGCTGTGTGGTGATTTCCACACCACAACTGGGAGAGAAATCAACTGGGAAGAGCTGGCCTTTTTACCCTCTCAATTTCTAATCCTACCACAGCACCGGAATCCTATGTGTAAGGAATCTGCTCTCCCCTTTTTCTGTCACCTCTCAGACATGGCCCCAGTGTACAGCTGGCAGATATATAATCCAGCTATCAAAACTTGCTTCCTCCTTTGCCCCATCCCAGTTAAAGCCTGTAACTGGTGGATTCTCACCAGCTGGTAATGTTTGGTGGAAGAAGAGGGAAGCCAAACTACGGAAACCCACCAACCTCCTTAACTTGCTCTCTATGTAATAAACAAGAACTAGTAAATCAGCATATTTTCTGGCTAGTGATTGGCAATGGGAGCAGCAGATTTTACGCCAGGATACCTTTTTGCTCAAGGATTGGTGGAGAGCACTTTAACTATAGAGAAGAGTCCCTAGAGAGGATTCCTATCTGGGTAGGGTTTCACCCAACTCTAATCAAACTTTCAGCCTTAGAGTATCTACATGGCTTTCATTATACTTCCAGCGATGACCAAGCTGAGCCAGAGGGAGGGGGTCAAACACATCACAAGAGATATAAGTCCAGCCCACCTTGAATTCCTTTATCTTCTTAACTCCCACTAATTTTCCTTGACCATTAGTAGTTCAGATTCTTGTAGAGAACTTAAGCTTACAATAAATCTTTATGCACATTTGGATTGCCCGGATCTCCTGATTTCCCCGATGCTTGAACATACGCCTTTTTGAAAAGATGGGGGTGGATTCTTGGGGTATTGGCTGCCCTTCACTCTCCCCTCTCCTGATTTTTATTGTAGAATTCAACATGAGAACATTGTTGCTCTGGAAGATATTTATGAAAGTCCCACTCATTTGTACCTGGCCATGCAGCTGTGAGTAGAAGTCCCTTATGAATATGTTTCTACTTGTGAGGTCTGGGGTGGGCAATTTGTCCTCTGAGATAAACGTCTACTTCTGGGGGGATATAAAATGGCATTAGAATGCTTTTGTAGATCACAACAATGCCTGTAGTTCTTTCAAAGAAAAAGGTCCTTGCATCCAATGAGGTTACAACTAAAACTGATCTTTTCCTGATTGGTGCAATCCTGATTGTAATTTGAGAAACTGCATTTAAAGAGTGTGATCTTGGGAAGGGCTGGTCATAATAATCAGATAACATAGGGAACACAAGTCTGTAGAAAACCAGAGCAAATGATATTTGAGATACTTAGTTTTATTCCAAGTCTATGTAAAAATGAGTTTGGAGGAGAGAACTAAAGAGATATAGCACCATGAAACCTCCAAATAAAGGATCCCAATTTGTAGGACCAGTTTACCTTTTTCTGGTATGAACAGAAGCTCTGGAGCTCACCATACCAAATATGTATGTATGTATGTATGTATGTATGTATGTATATGTGTGTGTGTGTGTGTATATATATATGTGTGTGTGTGTGTGTGTGTGTGTGTGTGTGTGTTAAGTTTTCGCGGGTACGAATGTATGTATGTATGTAGGTATGTATGGTATTCAGCTTTGTTCGGGTATTTTCCCACATCATTATAGTTGTGCTTTTAAAGTTGTAGCAATGTTTCGGCAGAATCTTTGATGAATCCTGATGATGGCAGATGAGATTCTGCTGAAACGTTGCTACAATGTATATGTATGTATGTATGTATGTATGTATGTATGTATGGTATATTCAGAAGCCTGATGATGGCAGATGAGATTCTGCCAAAACGTTGCTACAACTTTAAAAGCACAACTATAATGACGTGGGAAAATACCCGAACAAAGCTGAATACCATACATGTAAGTACCCGCAAAAACAAAGATTTCAGAAGTGGTTTGCCCTTCTTCTTCCATGGCCCAAGGTCATCGCGCTGTCTTTGTGCCTAAGGTGGGATTAAAGTTTCTGATCTTCAGGTTTCTAGTTGGATGCCTTAACCACTACAGCAAACTGACTCAAAGACATTAAATAAATAGATCAACCCTACCCTGCCCTCCCTTTTCAATTGGGAAAGTAGATCATTCCTGATAGTTGGATTCTTCCTCTTGCTGAAAGAGGGTGAATGTAAATCATCTCTCTCTCTCTCCTGGGTGCAGGGTGACAGGCGGAGAGCTCTTTGACCGCATCATTGAACGGGGCTATTACACAGAAAAGGATGCCAGCCAGCTCATCCGGCAGGTGTTGGAGGCTGTGAATTACCTACATGATCTGGGAATCGTTCATCGGGATCTCAAAGTGAGTATGTTGGGATGCTTTGGGGTATCCAACAGGTCCCAACCTTTGTATGAAAGAAAGGACCCCTACCCCCAAGACCAGGAACCATGCTTTGCTAACAGACGTTTATACAGTATTTAGCCTGATTATCGAGTTAACCTATTTTGGGGGATTTCCAAAATAAATTGAACTACAAACTACCTGAGGGATCTGTGTTGGCACAAAAACTTAAGTTGCCATTATCGCCAAAAACAAGGTTAAAAAATATATGCGAAGCCTACTTTTGGGAGTTCTTTCCAACCTTTTGCTGTAAGAGTCACATCACTGGGGGGAAATGGGAGGAAGCTTAAGAATGGTGCAGTCAGCCTAATCCTAGGTCTTACCCATTCCATAAGGTTGTTTTGGGGGAATTTGTTCTGAATTTTGTTCTTTGCCATTCACAGTTGGATTTGGCCCATTTTTGAACTTCCATCTTTCATTGATTTTTCCCACCATGCCAATTTAGTCCCATTGTCCCAATTTGCAGAGAGTTTTTCTGCTGAGACTCCTGAACATGGATGTAATATAGAACATAGAACACATGATATATATTTGTCTTACCTTCAGTTGAATTGAGAATAAAAATGAGCCAGGGTTATGTTGTATGTTAAACCAGTGGCCCAGTGTGCTGTACAGAAGCAGCTTTGCTTTTAAGATGTCAATGAGAACACAGATGTTGTAATGTAGCCAAGGTCCTTGGTTATGTTTGTAAAGTAGCCAAAGTACTTGATCATGAATGCTGAAGGGAAGAGGTTATTTTAAAATGTGATCTACACATTTTACTTGATGTTACTTCAATGTGTAGCCTAGCTATAAAATCAGCTCCTGGGCTTTGTCTCTTTGCCACATGTTGGCATAACCAAGATGAAAACTAAGAGTGAGGCTACATGGAAGAAGCAACTGAATTTTGTATATATTTTTTTGCCTAGGGGAAAAAAAGTTTATCTTAACCAGACTTTATGCCAGCTCTCTTCACATTTGCTGTAAATAAGCAAATGTGAAGCTTTACTGTGAGGGGATACCTTTAGGCCAAAGGTGGCAGTTGGGAGGATTGGGAGTGGGACAATTAGTCCCTCTGGAGTTCTCCCAAATCTCCGCTTTTAATGTTGCAGTTAGGCAGCTACTGAAAGGGAATAAGGGGCAGGAATGGTTAATTCTCCTGGTTAATTCTCTCTTCAAGTGTAATCTTATTTGCATTATTGCCGAAATTCAGAATGTGAAATTCCCTGCAATGTGTTCCTGCAGTTACTCTGCCTTCTGTTACAATCTGTGAGGCAGAATTTAGTCATCAGAACTAAAAGCAATACAAAGCTCCTTTCCTGCAAGAAATTGTGGTCCCCAGAGAAAGAAACCAGATTCAGGGTCAATTTTGGGGTGGGTGGGGTCTGGCAGGATAGGCTATTTGGAAGAAGGAAGTGGGGGTGGATGGAAAGATCAGAATGGAACATGGAAAATAATATTCCATTTCCCAAATCAGTATTTCTCAACCATGGCAACTTGAAGAAGTGTGGACTTCAACTCCCAGAATTTTCCAGCTATCCATGCTGGCTGGGAAGTTCTGGGATTTGAAATCTGCCCATCTTCATGTTGCCAAGATTGAGAATCCCCACCCTCAATCACTACTTCTGAATGGGGGTGCAATTATCACTTAGTAAGATACAGATTTTGCTGCTGCTGCATCAGAGCAGTTCCACCTTTTATAAGCAAACTGTCAGGGTTTCAAGTGAAGAAAGAAAGAAGACTCCAAGGCTAGCATTTCCTCTGGGAAAACCCAAATCTGAGAGTTCTGGGTTTTTCCCCACCCAAAAGAAAGTCAAGAATCCATCCCCTGCACCCACAAGTCCATCACATGGTCCAATCATACCTTCGTCCCAACTGGAGATTACCCCCAGTCACTCTCCTCCAGGTGCAGGGCAATCGTCCTTGACTCTCAGGGAAAGGAATGTTGTTGTGGCTAATCTTCCATCACTCCTTGCAATCCCCCTTCCCACTTTCCCAGGCACTTAATGTGTCAGCCTCGAAACTCCTAAGGAAAAAAAAAATGGCTTCCAAGGCTGACACAAACAGCTGCTGCTCAGGTGTGCATGGGAAAACACGTTGAAAGTACTATGCCGATTGATGAATGCAGAGTAGAGGAAGTCCCACATTTGTATGCTGACATTAGATCTGTCTTCATAGGAAGTGGAGGAGATGCAATATTTTGGTTTGATAGCGATGAGCGTATTTATTCTTCTCAATAACTGTCCAGTTAGAGCATTAGTTTGTGGAACAATATCACTGCTAGGCTGGAGAGTCACTGCTGATCTGAAACAAGTGATTGAAACAAGCAACTAGCAAAGCATCCCATTTTTATGGATGACTTTGTGTTAGGCTTGAAAGAATGAATCAGTTTCTATCCTCTCCATGATCATTAGCGAGGCTGTTACTATCAATAGATTTTTTTTGTCAGCATTGATAGTCTCTGACCACTTTATCTTCTGTTGGCCTCTCTCTCTCTCTTTTTTAATACCTTCAATTGTTCCAGGCCTATGGATTCTTCTGCAATGACTCCCGTCTTGGCATTATGTCTCTGATCTAAAGTAAACTTTAGTTTTTACTTCGTCTAGCACAGAATTTTTCTTCTGGTGCTCCATGGTATTCTCAACAATTTTATCTGGCATAAATAATTCAAGAGCGTCATCATTTCATTGTGTAGTTTTTATTATTGCCTAGCTTTCACACCAATGTGCTACATTGGGAAGAACATCAGTGGTGGGATTCAAACATTTTTTACTACCGGTTCTGTGAGCGTGGCATGTTGGGCATGGTGTGGCAGGGGAAGGATACTGCAAAATCCCATTACCTCCCCACCCCACTAACCTGCTTTCCAGCTCTGTTCTGCTGTGCAGGGCAACAAAAGAAGACCCAGCCGATCAGCTGGGACTCAGAAGGCAGAGAAGAGATGGGAGCGGGGCCAGTCAGAGGGGTTTTTGCCGGTTCTCCGAGCTACTCAAAATTTCCACGACCGGTTCTCCGGAACTGGTCAGAACCTGCTGAATACCACCTCTGAAGAACATGGACATTGCAATACATAGCTTTAGTATTTTATCCAGGATTATCATAGCCTTTTTTCTAAGTAGCAGATGTTTCTTCAGTTCATGGCTTGTGGATTCTTGAACCTTTGAATGAAGAAGATAAAGTTTGTGATTAAAGTTTAACTTCTCTCTCTGTATTGTGGGGTCGGCATTTCTTGTAATCTTAGTTGTCCTTCCCTCCCCACTCCAATCATTTACTAGTGAGGAGCAGACTGCCTTTTATGAGTGAGAAACAGAGTTTTGTATTTAGTTTTTTTTCTTCAACAAGAAATTCCTTGATATTTTTTTTTATGCTTCCCATCAAATACGATCTATGGGAAGCATATATTATTAATGTTTCTTCCAAAATCCTCAATTCCAATTATGATTTCTTCTACAGCTTTTCTCAATTTATTCTGCATATGAGTTAAATGATACCATGCAGTTTTGGCATACTCCTTTTTCCAGTTATGGGCAGTTTAGTTTCCTTATAATTTATTTTAACTGTTGCTTCCTGATCATTGTACAGATTATTTAATAGGCTGATGAAGGGGTCAGGTACACCAATCTTTCAAGGTCTATTCACTATGTTATGGTCAAAGGCCTTTGTATAATCAGTAAACAAAACCAGACGTCTTTACCTTTTCTATTATCCACTGGAAGTTAGGAATATGGTTTCTAGTCCAACTTATCCTTTTACCTTTTCTTGTCCCATGTATGAATTCTGAACTGCATAATCCTGAAGTTCATGTTACTAACATGTAAGATAAATCCAGTTCAATGGTTTAAGTATTTCTTAAAACATCACTTTTTTAAAGTATTGGAATATAAATTAATCTTTTCCATTCTTTTCCATTCCTGCTTAAGAACCTCACATATCACTTTAACTGCATCATTTTGTACAATTGTAAAAGCTTCTGCTGTATCTCCTATAGCTTTATTGTTACCAATGTTTCTTAGGACTCATTTAATTTTACTTTCCAGGACATCTAGTTTCAACACAGTGGTCAAACCTGTATATATATTATTATTTGAGGGAACTTCCTTTATAGTTCTTTTCTGTACTTGCACCATCTTTTCTTGATATGTTTCTTCTCCAGTATATCTTTATTTTTTAAAAAACAAACTTTATTAATTTTACAATTAAAATAAACAAACAACATGTACACAAACGTAGAAAATAAGAAGAGAAACAGAGTTGAGAAGTAAAAGAGAAGAGAGAAAAAGAAAAAAGAAGTAAAAGTAAAATCAAAAAGTGATTGAAAACAATTTCATCTTCGACAGTTTGTGGGTCATTATTTCTATCCTTATTTTATGCCATATTTACAAGTAATCCTTAATGCGAATTATATAATTACCACTACAATTATAGCTTATCCTCTTTTACAATGTTATGTAGCTCATCTTTCATCTAACCATTCATACCAGCAGTTCCAGCTCTCATAATACAAAACATTGATGTTTCTTTATCTTTTAATGCTAGGGTTAATTTATCCATTTCTGCACAATTTAGTATTTTTTGAATAATCATTTCCTCTGACGGAGTATGAGGTTGTTTCCAACATTGTGCAAAAGTCAATCTAGCTGCCGTCAATATATGTAATATTGTATACTTCACTTTTTTTTGGAAATTGTTTATTGAAGATCCCTAATAGGAAGAACTCTGTTCTGTTGTCATTTCCTCCAGCCATTTTTTAATTCTCTGCCAGTATCTTTGTGCTTCTGTACAGGACTACCAAATGTGGAAGTATGTTTCCTCCTTTTTTTTGCATTTCCAGCAGTTCGGACTCATATTGGAGTACATCTCCACTGATCTCAAGGGGGGGAGGTGCCATCTATAAAACATTTTGTAAGCATTTTCCTTGTACGATGCTGATTTTGTGATTTTATTATTTCTATTCCTCTCCCATTCTGTTAGAGTGATACTATGTCCTATATTCCTACTCCAGGCTATCATATTTTCTTTATCTGTTTATCTGTTTCTTCCTCCAATTCTGTCTCTAATAGGTAATTATAAAATTTTGTTATATATTTTTTTTGTCTGGGCCTAAGAGAATTTTGTCCAATTACTGAGGTTTATTATAAATTCTGAACTTTTTCTTATCCTGTCTATATCTGTTTTGAACTTGAAGATATGCCCAACAGTCGATTTGTAGTCCCTGATCTTGAAGGTCCTGCCATGATTTCAAATTTCCTTGCAGATCCAATAAATCCTTATATTTAATCATCTTGATAATATCCAAATTAATAGGGTGTATCATCGCCTCCATAGTTGAAATCCAGATCAGGATCTTTAAATAATATTTTTTCCTTATTTTCTTCCAATTGGTCAGGAGGGCATCTCTAATTAGATGTTTATGAAAATATTTCTGACTGGTTTTCCCTATATCCCATAAAAAGGCATGCCACCCCATCTGTAAGTCATGACCTTCTAGGACTAATATTCTCTTGTTAAGTTCACCCATTCTTTCAACCATACTAAGGAGGCTGCACTGTGATACAGCTCCCAGTTTGGAAGTGCCATCCCTCCCCTGCTCTTCATATCCTGCATTGCCTTTACGTTTATTCTCGGTTTTTTCCCTTGCCAGATAAATTTTGAAATTATCCTATTGAGTTCCACAAAGTATTTTTTATGAATTTTGATTGGTATCACCTGAAATATATAGAGGAATTTTGGAAGAATAGTCATTTTAATGGCAGCAATCCTATCTAATAAAGAAAGTTGTAGCTTACCCCATATTTCTAAATCTTTCTTTACCTGTTGCATTAATTTATCATAATTGTTTTCCTTTAACATCTTACAATGTGCTGTCAACCATATTCCTAAATATTTAATTTTCTTTATCACTTGAATTCCCATCTCCTTTTCTAATTCTAATTTCTGTTTTTCTGTTAAATTTTTAGTCATTAATCCAGTATATCTTTCTTTTGTCTTTTCATGCTCATATTTTCACAAAAGGTCCTTTTATGAGCTGTGGTGGTGCAGTGCTTAAAATGTAATATTGCAGGCTAACTGCCCACAGCTAGGAGTTTGATCCCAACCAGCTCAAGGTTGACTCATCCTTCCATCCTTCCAAGGTTGGTAAAATGAGGACCCAAATTGTTGGGGGCATTATTCTGACATTGTAAACAGTCCAGAGAATGCTGTAAATCACTATGGAGTGGTATATAACTCTAAGTGCTATTGCTATTTGTAATTTTTAAAATTAAAGCTCTTTTCATTCCCATTCAGATGTTCTCTTCAGTTTCTCTGTGTTGCTTTTCGATATATAATTCCTTGCCTTTTTTGCTTTTTTTTTTTATTGGGGGCATTTGCTTTCTGCTTTCCTTCAGTTATTTCTGATGTGTTGTGGAGTTTAGAAGTTGGAATTTTATTCCTGGTTCATAAGGAAAACAACAGACAAGTTCTTCTGGTTTAAGATAATGCGGTATATTTACCCAAGTTATACAAATAACGAATGAGGAATGCAGAAAGCTTTCTCACACTGAAACCAACAATTGTTGTCCTGAGATAAGTGGATAAGAAGATATAAAGTAAATCCACCAAACTAAGGGATGCATGAAGTAAGGCCCCTTATCACAATAAAGGGAATAAGCAGAAGGCCCAGCTTCTTTGCTCAGTGGGGCAAATTAGAGAAAAAGAGGAATAAAATGGCATCTCAAGGTCTGGGTCCAAATACTTACTCCATTGGTAAGATTAAGATCGTGGGCTGCACTAAAGATAAAGGTAAAGGTTTCCCCTGTCCAGTCGTGTCCGATTCTAGGGGGCCATGGTACTCATCTTTGTTTCTTAGCTGAGGGAACAAGTATTGTCTGAAGATGCTTCTGTGGTCATGTGGCTAGCATGACTATACACTGAGGTACATGAAGTGCTGTTTCCTCTCCACCAAATTGGTACCTATTTATCTACTTGCAGTTGCATGCTTTCAAAATGCTAGGTTGGCAGGAGCTGGGGCAAGAACAGGAGCTCACTCCATCATATGGTACTTGGGTCTTGAATTGCCAATTTTCTGGTCAACAAGTCCAGCATCCTAACTGCTAAGCACCACTTCTGAGCTATACCATGTAATGATTTACATTCTATGGATTGGCACATTTCTCCCTCTTTCTATAAAGTCCTCACTGACCTAAACTTGGGGTTCCCAGTTTGCTTTGGCTCCGGTTCAGTAATGACACTGAAGGTATCTTAATAAAGACAATCGAACACAGAGCTCTATTGTTCTGGTTCTTGTTTTAGTAGAGCAGCTCTTCCCCCAGGATAATATCAAACAGCTGTTTGGTTTTGTCCTGCTGTTTGCATTTCAGGATACTTTTTCTTTGTTACATCTTTAAGAAATTCACAGGTTTTTGTCTAGAAATCTTCAAGCATTGTATTTATCAAATTGAGTCTGCAAGATCTATTCTTTACCCTTGCTGCATACTCATGAAGTTGAATACTGTTGGTCTGATTATTTTGTTTAAGTTGTAATTTTATAGGCAGGGAGTAGTAATCTGTGCCATAATTAGCACCAGGTCTTGTTTGTGCTGATCAAAGAAAGCTTATCTGTTTTTGTTTACTGACTATATAGTCCACAAAACATTATTTGATTTTGCTATTGTCCATCCAGTAATGTCTGTGTATAGAGTTACCTTTTTAGATTGTTGGAAGGAGGTATTTGCTATAAACAAATTTCTTGAATTTTCTTGCTAGAATTCTTATTAGTGTCTCTCCCACTTTGTTTTGTACACCGAGAAAAGTTTTCCTATTATTCCAGATGGTATCACATAGCTTTTTGAGAACCAGTTTGGTGGTTAAGGCCTTAGGCTAGAAATCAGGGGACAGTGAGTTCTAGTCCCACCCAGGGTGACCTTGGGCTAGCCAACCAAACAACAAACAAACAAACAAAAAAACATCCTTTTAGTATGATCTCTTCTTTTGGTGTAGCATGTTGCCATAAAACTTTCTCTGCATCTATGGTTGGAGTATACTGTAGTTTTGGATCATTTGTAACATTGATCAGGTTGCCTTGGACTCATTTGCAATCATTCCATGGTTTTTAAGTTGTATCTAAGTATTGGCTTTTACACCCTTTTGTTAACTGTGATGGCCACTCCATTTCTTCTGTTCTTGCCTACAGCAAAAAATATGGTGTCTCACTAATGTGAAGTGATGCATTTCAGTCCATTTCATTTTGTTGATTTTTGTTGATGTCAATGTCAGTCTTAATATTTCTGCTCTGAAAGCATCAAATTTGCCCTGGTTCATAGATCTAACATTTCATGTGCCAGGGATACACATGTCTTGGTAGCATCAGATTTTTATTTTGCTTTGGATGCATCAGCAACTGAATGTCCTTTTGGCTTTTGTCAAATCATAAACTCCAGGGTTATTTGTGCTTTCCTTCCTTGGTTGCTCCCAATACCTTGTAGGGTACCTTTCAAATTGATTGTGTGTGTGAGTGTGTGTGTGTGTGTGTGTGTGTGTGTGTAAGTGTGTCTTGTCCAGTATTATTTTGAGATTCTCCTGGTTGTAAATGTTGGCAGAATACTGGACTGGGTTACTATTTCCTTCTATGTTGCATTGGGTTTGGTTATGATCCCTGGTTTGTGACACCTGGAGATAATTACACAATTATGTAGATCACAGTATTATTGGAATGCACAACCCCCCTTACTGATCCTTTAAGGGAAATAGCATTAGATTCTGCATGCACACATTCTCATTCTCTCTCTCTCTCTCTCTCTCTCTCTTTCTCTCTCTCTCACACACTTTTTAAAATCTCTTTGCTGCCATCTAATGTTCCTCTGAATTTTTGTGGCCAGACATATCTATACAAAGGTCTCTTTTGCACCCCTGAAGGCACTGAAGGTGTTAGAATAAGGTGTTGTGATTGGAAGGATCGGGACCTGTTAGGAGTTTTGAATCTGA